TTCGATTTGTCAAATCGACCAACCCTTACTGATAGAGCCATATACTGACAAACAGCGAGAACTTAGTTGCGCACCTAATATAAGAAAGGAAAGTACAAAAGAGTAATACAATTTCCGAATGTTACTTTAATGAGATATGACTACTCGTACATACAAACTTACAAGACCCATTCGGCCTTAGTTGGGACATTAGTTGACACTGAAAAGTTCTTTTCCGTGACGAACTCGAATGGAGCTGGTTTCGGCAACTTCTTTGTATTTCAAAAACTAGAGCTGATACAAAAAAATGGTTTGCAGATTTGAAATCAGCGCAAAAAATACTATAAGAATCAGCTCTAACATTTGAGGCACCAAAAAAAAAACTTTTTTTTGTTGGCCTGTGTAATCGTTATAAGAGGCTCTGTTTTTAATCATTGTTATATGAATCAACCTATATCATATTTTTGTACAAAAAAGCATATAATTTGGGGACTTCTAACAACAATTGTCGGGGCTACGCCTACGTTTATATATCTTTCCGAATCTAAGTAACTCATATATATATATATATATATATATATATATATATTATATATATATATATATATATAATATATATATATATATATATATATATATATATATATGCTTTGTGATTATCTATACATTTCATGTATTTTACTCCTTCGGTCACTTTACTGAACCATCATATATTCTCCTATCCGCCAGCCATTGAACCATTTAGCCGATAATCTAATTTCCTACAGGACCTGATCCTTTCTGATGGGAAAGGATTTAGGGAATACTGCAATTACGACGGAAAATGCCATATAACGACCGACTGGAATCCAATTGGAATCTAATCAAGTGTCTGTTCAGATGTGACGAACAGAAGCGAATAAACCTTGAAATGGCTTTAATGCAATATAAATTTGCAACTTTGGAAGAAGAGATAAAAATAAATACTCCGCTTGAATAGCAATTAAACATTTGACTTACCTTCATTTTTCCGCCTTTTGAGGCGGCCGAGGGGCGGCCAAATAGAAAACAAACAACAAATTCAAAGGCGGCTATAACAAAAAGTGGTCGTAATAAATAGCCGTCGCATTAAAAGTGTACTGAATTAAAAGGCGGCCAACTCATTCGCTGCCGTATTGAAAGTCCGCTGTATATATCTAAAACACCACCGTAGTAAAAATCAGCCAAAGGCGGCCGGATTTAATGCGAGATCGAATCAAATAATTTTTAAGTGTATAAACTTGGTGTAAGTGGCAAGTTGCATGAACTCTCCAACATGTGTAAATAATCCACTTAAATATAAAAAATATATTAATTCAAGAGTACATTGCAATGTGAAAAACTATCGCAATTCTTGCCTGTTTACGTTCGTTCGTTAGGTGTGAATGCACCTTCATGTGCATTCATACCATAGAACAGGGCTTCAAGCTTAGGAAATTTTAAAATATATATTAACCGTAGATGCAGATGTAATATTGTACTATTTTACAATGTAAATAAAATAAGGATTAAAGAATACGTACCCATTCATTTCACATATATATAATTGGAAACGTTGACGGAATATCGGTCTTAATAAAACACAATAAATAGAATAACAAAACTATATATTTATTGCATAGAAGAAATAAAATTTTATAACATTTTTTTACAAGAAAACAAAACTATATCTATATATTCAATAGAAAAAATAAACTTTTGTAACAATTTTTTTAATAAAAACATATTATTAACATTAAGCTATATTAATTTGACGGATGTGGTTGTTTGTTTTTACACAAATAAATAAATCTAGGCTCAATTTGAGTTAGTGCAGATCGTAATAAATTTTCAACGTTTATTAAAGTTGAATGGTGATTTGATTTTATATAAGTTAATGTGAAAAAGGCTTATTCACATAAATATGTTGTACAAAATGGCAGTTATTTGTTCATTACCATTTCCGATAGTAGATGATATTCTGATTTGATTTCAATCTAAAATTCATGCACAGGCACTTGTAAAATCTAAGTCGCAAGGTAGTATCACTTGTTAATTCGGCAAATTCTTCTTGCGCCTTTCGTGTATACTAATTTTAAAATTTTATTTATAATGATTGAAAAGTATCAGATCTTTGAGACCCCTCTGCAGTAGTCTCGCGACCCCCCTGGGGGTCGCGACCCACACTTTGAGAAGCCCTGTCATAGATCATCTTTTAACATTTTTGTACCTGAGAAATGTATGGGGACTAGCAGTCCATGTATATAAGGTCTATGGTTAAAACAGGTAAAATAATAGGAGGGAATTGGCAAAGCGGGCGCTGAGGATCCCTGGTAATAATGTATATTAAATTATTACTAAAAAAAATGTAATTTAGATATTATAATTACTAAATACCTATTAAAATATAATACGAAATTATAAAAATTGTAGGCAACATTATTGGAACAATTAGAAAAAATCCGAAGTAGTATTGTACTTTTACCGCGGATAGTATATATTAATTTTTTCTGAATTTGTTGTACCGTTTAAAAGACTTTAATTTCCAATTTAGTGTAGAAATTGAGACTCATCATTTTATTTAAAGCAGTTAAGAACATTTAACAACACTCATATTGATGTTTATGCATTTGGTGTGAAGAGTAATTTAAAAAACATACTTATTATTTTTGGGTAAACTGTAAATATTAGTAGAGGATTGTAAAAAATTGTAGACGTGGGTACAGGACAACGTCTGTCAGATCATATAGTATATATATTAAATTTAATTTATTTTTTATGTAATTTATTTATCGGCATCCAGGTAGAATTTTCCCAACGTTGTATTCTCCTCAGGAAATTGTTTTTCTCCATTCGCCTTTAAAGTATACGACGTTCAACAGCACCAAATAACATCCGCAGGAGCAAAATAATTTGTCAATATGTGATCAAATAAAAATCAATTTTATTAAAAATTTACCACCTACCATGGTTGACCAATTCCGTGATGTGTCGTTATTTTATTTATTCCATTTGTGAAATCTATAGACACGATATCCGAGTCGTAGGACATTTTGGCAATCGCGTTGAAGCGCTGCCTTGGCTGGATCATGTGGGAAATGTAAATTCTGGTGTCGAAATCTAGATGGTAAGGCAGGATTCTTGGCCTGGAGGAATAAATAGTAATAAAAATATAAGAAATATTAACAATGTTTGAATGTATTCAACCTTTAGTGAACCTATAATTTTTCCTGCACGTTCCATGTTGCTCTGGTAACTATCAGGAAGGGAGAGTAGTCTCAACATTTCTATCAAAATTTAAAAGCAATTCCACTAAACTATAATGATTTTATTAGAAAATTGCTTTTGTTAATAAATTTTAAAATTATTCATGTATATGAGTGATATATAAATAAAACAGTGAAAATTTGTCTGTATATTTAAAAATGTAAAAATATTTAACAAATTTTATGCCTGAGAATGAAAAAGCAAACAAGTGTACTGTAAAACACAGGTTAGTGAAAGAAAATAAAATTTATTCTACACCAAATTTATTTATTTCAATAACCAACGACTAATTCATTGCAATGTAAATTTTTAGAGAGTTTATTAAAAGCTTGGAATATCGTTATTTAATTTATAAAACCCTTAATGTTGAAATTGAAGATTCAAATAAACGTCGTTTCGATTTCAAAACAGAAGAGGCGTTCGAGTTCCTGAAACGCCATCTTCGACCGAGCGAACGTGCACGCTCTGCAGTCGCACGTCTACAAGTCTTTTGCACATCTATGCTTTGCGACTATAGGAGTTCGGAGAGGAGTTGTCACTGCGAGTGAGAGTTCATTTCCATCGTGGCGATTGCTGGAGGAAGACATCGAGACGTCGTCGAACACGGACGAGCGGGCCTGACCCTTCGCTGCCTGTGGAGTACGTGCGACCTGCGAGCGTCACCTGGTACGTTGCACTTGTGATAATTATATTTCTCTTTGCGGATTCACTCAGATTGCATTTCGTGTTTTAAGATGTTTTAGATTTAATTGAAAACTTTCCTAATTTTTGTTTTTTTTTTTGAAAACGTGTGCTCGATTTATGTAGTTTTTGCTCAAGTCGTACTACTGTCTAAGACGTACGCCGGATATATTTTATCTAATTATTTTATTTTGCATCATTTGGTGCCCACTGTTAAATAAAACTACATATTATTATTTTGTTGACTGGGCAAGAGTTCACAATTGAATGGCTGGCGGTCATTGTGCAGAAGAAATAATCGAAAGTAATAGTAAAAGTTGTGAAAGAAAAAATGACTGTTAATTCATTTTGTGAATTACTATGAATACATTTTACGGATCGTTTAATTTGAAGTCTTATTTACATCGCCAAGTATCGAGTGAAAATTGAACACTGACTCACTTCACCGGGAATCGCTCTGAAAATAATTCAAAAAGTACGTTTTTATTCATAATCAGTATAAATGTGAACATTAAATAAAATGTATTTTTCAGGTTCTTTCAACTACTGCTGCTCTGCACGCTGACCCCTTCACCAGGAATCGCTCTAAAAATAATTTAAAAAGTACGTTTTTATCCATAATCAGTATAAATGTGAACAATAAATAACATGTTTATTTTTTTTTCAGGTCCTTTCAAATACTGCTGCTCTGCACACTGACCCCTTCACCAGGAATCGCTCTGAAAATAATGTAAAAAGTACGTTTTTATCCATAATCAGTATAAATGTGAACAATAAATAACATGTTTATTTTTTTCCAGGTACTTTCAACCACTGCTGCTCTGCACACTGACCCCTTCACCAGGAATTGCTCTGAAAATAATTTAAAAAGTACGTTTTTATCCATAATCAGTATAAATGTAAACAATAAATAATGTTTATTTTTTTCCAGGTCCTTGCAACTACTGCTGCTCTGCACACAGACTCCTTCACCAGCAATCGCTCTGAAAATAATTTAAAAAGTACGTTTTTATCCCTAATCAGTATAAATGTGAACATTAAATAACATGTTTATTTTTTTTTCAGGTCCTTTCAAATACTGCTGCTCTGCACACTGACCCCTTCACCAGGAATCGCTCTGAAAATAATTTAAAAAGTACGTTTTTATCCATAATCAGTATAAATGTGAACATTAAATAACATGTTTATTTTTTTTTCAGGTCCTTTCAACTACTGCTGCTCTGCACACTGACCCCTTCACCAGGAATCGCTCTGAAAATAATTTAAAAAGTACGTTTTTATCCCTAATCAGTATAAATGTGAACATTAAATAACATGTTTTTTTTTTTTCAGGTCCTTTCAAATACTGCTGCTCTGCACACTGACCCTTCACCAGGAATCGCTCTGAAAATAATTTAAAAAGTACGTTTTTATCCATAATCAGTATAAATGTGAACAATAAATAACATGTTTATTTTTTTCCAGGTACTTTCAACCACTGCTGCTCTGCACACTGACCCCTTCACCAGGAATCGCTCTGAAAATAATGTAAAAAGTACGTTTTTATCCACAATCAGTATAAATGTGAACATTAAATAACATGTTTATTTTTTTTTTCAGGTCCTTTCAACTACTGCTACTCTGCACACTGACCCCTTCACCAGGAATCGCTCTGAAAATAATTTAAAAAGTACGTTTTTATCCCTAATCAGTATAAATGTGAACAATAAATAACATGTTTTTTTTTCCAGGTACTTTCAACCACTGCTGCTCTGCACACTGACCCCTTCACCAGGAATCGCTCTGAAAATAATTAAAAAGTACGTTTTTATCCACAATCAGTATAAATGTGAACATTAAATAACATGTTTATTTTTTTTTCAGGTCCTTTCAACTACTGCTACTCTGCACACTGACCCCTTCACCAGGAATCGCTCTGAAAATAATTTAAAAAGTACGTTTTTATCCCTAATCAGTATAAATATGAACTATAAATAACATGTTTATTTTTTTTCAAGTACTTTCAACCACTGCTGCTCTGCACACTGACCCCTTCACCAGGAATCGCTCTGAAAATGGAATCGCTCTGAAAATAATTTAGAAAGTACGTTTTATCCACAATCAGTATAAATGTGAACATTAAATAACATGTTTATTTTTTTTTCAGGTCCTTTCAACTACTGCTGCTCTGCACGTTGACCCCTTCACCAGGAATCGCTCTGAAAATAATTTAAAAAATACGTTTTTATCCATAATCAGTATAAATGTGAACATCAAATAACATGTGTTTTTTTTTTTTTTCAGGTCCTTGCAACTACTGCTGCTCTGCACACTGACCCCTTCACCAGGAATCGCTCTGAAAATAATTTAAAAAGTACGTTTTTATCCACAATCAGTATAAATGTGAACAATAAATAACATGTTTATTTTTTCCAGGTACTTTCAACCACTGCTGCTCTGCACGCTGACTCACTTCACCAGGAATCTTTCCAGAAACATGTTACCAGGTATGGTCTTTAACCATATCAGTATAAATGCAAACATTCCTATAATGTTTCTTTCTTTTTTGCAGATCTTCTCGATCCAACTATTACTGCTCTGAAGCCTTAAAATCATTCACGTGAATGACTCGCAAGTGAGTGGTTTTTTTCAATGACTGTCTATAATTATGCATGATTAACTTAACTCTTATTAACTCAATAAATGTGAACATTAAATAACATGTTTATTTTTTTTTGTTTTTTTTTTTTCAGGTCCTTTCAACTACTGCTACTCTGCACACTGACCCCTTCACCAGGAATCGCTCTGAAAATAATTTAAAAAGTACGTTTTTATCCCTAATCAGTATAAATATGAACTATAAATAACATGTTTATTTTTTTTCAAGTACTTTCAACCACTGCTGCTCTGCACACTGACCCCTTCACCAGGAATCGCTCTGAAAATAATTTAAAAAGCACGTTTTTATCCACAATTAGTATAAATGTGAACATTAAATAACATGTTTATTTTTTTTTTCAGGTTCTTTCAACTACTGCTGCGCTGCACACTGACCCCTTCACCAGGAATCACTCTGAAAATAATTTAAAAAGTACGTTTTTATCCATAATCAGTATAAATGTGAACAATAAATATCATGTTTATTTTTTTCCAGGTACTTTCAACCACTGCTGCTCTGCACACTGACCCCTTCACCAGGAATCGCTCTGAAAATAATTTAGAAAGTACGTTTTTATCCACAATCAGTATAAATGTGAACATTAAATAACATGTTTATTTTTTTTTTTCAGGTCCTTTCAACTACTGCTGCTCTGCACGTTGACCCCTTCACCAGGAATCGCTCTGAAAATAATTTAAAAAATACGTTTTTATCCATAATCAGTATAAATGTGAACATCAAATAACATGTTTGTTTTTTTTTCAGGTCCTTGCAACTACTGCTGCTCTGCACACTGACCCCTTCACCAGGAATCGCTCTGAAAATAATTTAAAAAGTACGTTTTTATCCATAATCAGTATAAATGTGAACAATAAATAACATGTTTATTTTTTCCAGGTACTTTCAACCACTGCTGCTCTGCACGCTGACTCACTTCACCAGGAATCTTTCCAGAAACATGTTACCAGGTATGGTCTTTAACCATATCAGTATAAATGCAAACATTCCTATAATGTTTCTTTCTTTTTTGCAGATCTTCTCGATCCAACTATTACTGCTCTGAAGCCTTAAAATCATTCACGTGAATGACTCGCAAGTGGTTTTTTTCAATGACTGTCTATAATTATGCATGATTAACTTAACTCTTATTAACTCAATAACATGACTAACCTCACTAACTTAATTAGGCAGTTAATATAAAACCACTTGTTGAGTTTTACTATGAAGGTCTTAATGGGGTTACGTGGAAGACACGCTGCATGATTAATCAGGTAATTTATTCTTTATAGTATATTTTATGAACCTTGTTACTAATTCATTGTTTTCGTTTATAGGGTAACCAACTTCAAGCCAAGTGCTCTTCAACGCTCAAGTTGCTAATGAGTGAGAACAATCATTTGATCTACTAATTATGCTGTCCGTCCGTCCGTCCGTCTCTTCACCAGAGAAGATGCCTACTATGATTTATTAAATAGTTAAGTGCTTAGATGTTAATGAAATAATGAATAAATATATTGTATTTAATTTAATTTTTTTTAATTCAATTATGAGCCACTTTACGGCCAAATCACATTATGCTGTAACGTAAATTACAGAAATATTTAAACATGTCTACATTTTAAAAATTTCTTGTGTTATTAATAGGGATACTTATTGAGTGCACTCTTTAGTGTAGTCAATTGTGTAGAACAGTTTCTTCACTGTTTGGATGCTTTCAAACATCTTGCCGCATCTTGGTTAAGCTCTTTATACCTTTGCTTTGACTCGGTAGAACTCTGCGTCATTGCTTTGACTCGATAGAAACGCGTTGACAATAGACTTTGCTTTTTTTCTAAACCCTTATGTTAGTCGAGTGCCTTAAACATTTAATGTGTCAAACCGATGTTTTCTTTGTTTTAAATATTATACTTTCTATTATTTCTTTAAACGGTGCACTTTTTTTCTTATTGTTAGCTATAAATATCACTTAATTTAATATCATACTGTGTTATTATTATATATACTATAATATATATATATATATATATATATATATATTATACAATTAGACAAATGTTAATGTATTTTAGTCATTTTTATTACTGTAATTGTATGAATAAATTAATATAATTGTATTATTAACTTCCCGTAGGGTAAGTTATTGTAATGGGACGAAAATCGGAATTAAAAATTTTTACATTTCTCGACGTTTTGAAGGTTTCTGAACGTTTTGGCATACCTCAGAAAAAATGGATGTGTGTGTGTGTGTATGTGTGTGTGTATGTATGTGTGGATACAAATTTCCAGTCACGTTTTAGGGCGCACGGATCAACGGATTTGAATGGTTCAAAAAACATTCGATTTCTATTGATAGGGAAAAGAGCTGATTAGTTTTTGGCAAAGGCAGGTCCAGCCGTTTCGAAGATACGGAGCAAAGAGTGCAGAAAATAGAAATCGAATTTTTGAGAGAACGGAGTATCCGATTTGCATGATCTAAAAAACATTCAATTAGTAATGATTGGGAGAAGTGTTTATTAGTTTTTGGCAAAGGCAGGCCCAGCCATTTTGAAGATACGGAGCTAAATATGTAAAAAATAGCAGTTTTTGAGAGAACTAAGCGTCCGATTTAAATGATTCAAAGAACTTTCTGCTTGTCTTAACAAAATAATTGATTTTGGAAAAAAAAATTTGTTCCAATTTTGTTTTTTTTTTTTTTTTTTTTAGTTTTTTGTATATCGAAAATATTTCAGATTTTATTTTATTATTTTATATTAGACAATGATACAATATTTATAATAATCTACTAGAAAACATTCAGTATTCAACGGGAAGTTCCAGCAATTTGCCTTAAAGCACGGTGCCATAATAGCCTCAAGACAGAATTCCACTTACAGCTAGTTAAATACTGTGATACATTGATTGGAAGTTTTGAATAAAACTAACTGAACTTTATTTGGAGTGTTTCATTTCACACAATTTTCAGTGATATATGTTAGAAACACACCGTATAGGTATAGGTATTATAAACATTAATATATTTGTTGATGTTATCATAAACATTAATGTACTCATTAATTCGTTTTTCGGCGAGGATTTATTATTTTGAATAAATTTCATAAAATATATTACAATTTTTGTAATCTAATTCTATTATGATCAATGCAGTTAATGAAGTTATGACTTTGATCATTTCAAATAGACTAATCTATGGTTATTCACTCATTTCAAACATGTCAAAAATGATAACACTTTTCACTCAGTTTAATCTATACTATTATTCAGTGTTAATTAGTTCATTTTAATTAATATACTTCAAATATTGGTCAGTTTTACTTAACTTTGGACTTATACAATAAAGATCAACTTCTCAAACTTTTCAACTTTTCTTGCTCTTTTGCACAATGATATCTTCATTGTTATTGAGAATATTTTATTTTTATTAGGTTATTTTATTATTATATTATTTGTATTAATTTTCACCGACATGTTTACTCTACCACCCCTTCTCCTTACTTTACACTACCTTAACCTAATACCTACCTATGTTAAGAACTAATACTCTTATACCTTGCTTACCTTTACCACGTCTCGAACCTGCTACCACGTTCTCTCCAGTGAATACCACCTCCTAACGCGCGACGCCACGACGATCACATTAGTACACCGTTGCAAAGTAGATGATATTGTTTATTTTAAACGAAAAAAAACTAGCAGGTCATGTGGCCAAAAAAAAGTTGGGTTTGTATGGCCTGTGTTGGCGTAATGGGTAGAGTGATGGCTTCGTACCATAAAGGTACCGAGTTCGAATCATACCTCAGGACAAAAAAAAGAGTATTGTTCACGTTGTGGTATTTATTTAGTGTTAAATAATAACACAAAATTAATTTTTAAATATAACAAACTAACAAGTCATGAGGCCGAAAAGAAAGCAGAATCGATGTGGCCTGTGCTGGCGTAATTGGTAGAGCGATGGATTCGTACCCAAAGAGTGCCGAGTTCGAACCATGGAATTTATTATTTATTGTAAGATAGCACAAAGATAAAATTTGGATTTAATAAACTAACAGGTCATGAGGCCGAAAAAAAGCAGATTCGGTGTGGCCTGTGTTGGCGTATTGCTAGCGTGCTAGCTTCATGTCAACAGGGTACCGAGTTCGATTCATACCTCCGGACACAAAACGCAAAATAGCGTGACTGTTGACGCTGTGGAACGAGGTATGCACGGAATCACATCCGTTCGAATTTGAGACCCAGGCAGGTATGCTCCCCTCGATCTCGATTGAGAGGAGAGATACGCGCGAGAATCCCGTGTCATCCCCTAATGAACCCCGCAGCAGCCCCGAAAAGGGGCGAGGGGGGATTATAGGGGGGTGTGGGGTTCACGAACCCGCGACCCTGTGGTCCGACCCTCCCCCGGAAAAGGGAGAGGGGGGACTATAGGGGGGTGAGGGTTCCGCGCGACGACCACCACTGGGTCGCGCCGGTTGAAAAGCCGGGTGCGTCACAAGTTGGGTCGGTGTGCGAGTCCCCGGAGCACCCTCGAGTGCGATGATGGGGATGTGGGGTGAGGAAAATGCGGTGACGAGGGAAAAAGGGGTGGAAGGATATGAGGAGGACAGATAGGGGTGATGGGAGATAGATAAGGGGACAGATGGAGGTGGTGGGAGAGATAGGGAGAGAGATAAGGGGAGGAAGAGAGATAGGAGGAGAGAGATAAGGGGAGGGGAGAGATAAGGGGAGGGATGAGAGAGGAGGAGGAATGAGAGCGGGTGAGAGAGACGGAGGGAGGGATGCAGGAAGCGACGGGCGCGGACGTAACACATCATTATGCAAAATGCGTTCTCCCCTATCGCTTCCTTCCTCATCCGTCCCTCCCTCCATCTCTCTCCCCCGCTCTCGTCCCTCCCCCTATCTCTCCCCCCCTTACCTCTCTCCCCTATCTCTCTCCCTCCCCTTATCTCTCTCCCTCCCCCTTATCTCTCCCTCTATCTCTCCCACCACCCCTATCTCTCCCCCTGTCTCTCTCCCGCCATCCCTATCTCTCCCTCCACATACCGTGCCACCCCTTTTTCCCTCGTCACCGCATTTTCCTCACCCCACATCCCCATCATCGCACTCGAGGGCGCTCAGGGGACTCGCACATCGACCCAAACTGTGACGCACCCGGCTTTTTAACCGGCGCGACCCAGTGGTGGTCGTCGCGCGGAACCCTCACCCCCCTATAGTCCCCCCTCTCCCTTTTCCGGGAGGGTCGGACCACAGGGTCGCGGGTTCGCGAACCCCACACCCCCCTATAATCCCCCCTCGCCCCTTTTCGGGGCTGCTGCGGGGTTCATTAGGGGATGACACGGGATTCTCGCGCGTATCTCTCCTCTCAATCGAGATCGAGGGGAGCATACCTGCCTGGGTCTCAAATTCGAACGGATGTGATTCCGTGCATACCTCGTTCCACAGCGTCAACAGTCACGCTATTTTGCGTTTTGTGTCCGGAGGTATGAATCGAACTCGGTACCCTGTTGACATGAAGCTAGCACGCTAGCAATACGCCAACACAGGCCACACCGAATCTGCTTTTTTTCGGCCTCATGACCTGTTAGTTTATTAAATCCAAATTTTATCTTTGTGCTATCTTACAATAAATAATAAATTCCATGGTTCGAACTCGGCACTCTTTGGGTACGAATCCATCGCTCTACCAATTACGCCAGCACAGGCCACATCGATTCTGCTTTCTTTCGGCCTCATGACTTGTTAGTTTGTTATATTTAAATATTAATTTTGTGTTATTATTTAACACTAAATAAATACCACAACGTGAACAATACTCTTTTTTTGTCCTGAGGTATGATTCGAACTCGGTACCTTTATGGTACGAAGCCATCACTCTACCCATTACGCCAACACAGGCCATACAAACCCAACTTTTTTTTAGCCACATGACCTGCTAGTTTTTTTTCGTTTAAAATATACAATATCATCTACTTTGCAACGGTGTACTAACGTGATCGTCGTGGCGTCGCGCGTTAGGAGGTGGTAGTCACTGGAGAGAACGTGGTAGCAGGTTCGAGACGTGGTAAAGGTAAGCATGGTATAAGAGTATTAGTTCTTAACGTAGGTAGATATTAAGTTAAGGTAGTGTAAAGTAAGGAGAAGGGGTGGTAGAGTAAACATGTCGGTGAAAATTAATACAAATAATATAATAATAAAATAACCTAATAAAAATAAAATATTCTCAATAACAATGAAGATATCATTGTGCAAAAGAGCAAGAAAAGTTGAAAAGTTTGAGAAGTTGATCTTTATTGTATAAGTCCAAAGTTAAGTAAAACTGACCAATATTTAAAGTATATTAATTAAAATGAACTAATTAACACTTTGAATAATAGTATAGATTAAACTGAGTGAAAAGTGTTATCATTTTTGACATGTTTGAAATGAGTGAATAACCATAGATTAGTCTATTTGAAATGATCAAAGTCATAACTTCATTAACTGCATTGATCATAATAGAATTAGATTACAAAAATTGTATATATTTTATGAAATCATCAACAAATATATTAATGTTTATAATACCTATACCTATACGGTGTGTTTCTAACATATATCACTGAAAATTGTGTGAAATGAAACACTCCAAATAAAGTTCAGTTAGTTTTATTCAAAACTTCCAATCAATGTATCACAGTATTTAATAATACAATTATATTAATTTACTCATACAATTACAGTAATGAAAATGACTAAAATATATTAACATTTGTCTAATTGCATAATATATATATATATATATATATATATATATATATATATATTATAGTATATATAATGATAACACAGTATGATATTAAATTAAGTGATATTTATAGCTAACAATAAGAAAAACAGTGCACCATTTAAAGAAATAATAGAAAGTATAATATTTAAACAAGACAAAACATCGGTTTGACACATTAAATGTTTAACTCTTTTAGTGCCGGGCGAAATGGAGGTGCCTATGCGAGAAAAACCGGCCGAATTTCACAGTTTTACAAGGGTTCGGGAAAATGCTTATAAAAACCAAACGAGAAACGATATTTACATGATTCAAAAAGCTGCGTATTATAGATGAAATACAGAACAAAACAATGACACTAGTTTTTTTGTACTCATTTGAGAATTATAGTAAAAACAAAGGTATATATGTTTATAAATAAAGCAAAAGTTGAGTTCTCTTGTACAAAACGTGTTTGCACATAACAAAAATAAAACATAACTTGAAGGTACACGGTAGGCGCCAGGCGGATTATCTCTTTCGAAATATGTAATTGTTATCAGTAATATAACATTGCTGAAACAAAATTATGTTTTCATAAATATTTATATTTATATATTGCAAATGTGTAAAATTTTGTTATTGCAACTCAAACAAATAATTTATTTAGCATTCGTGGCTACTAATGCACACTCCATGCAATCCTTTGTTGCACTTATTGCAAACTGTGCGTGATTTTCTCTTTGGGCCACCATCCTTTCTGCTGCACACCACGCAAACCCTTTCCAGTTTTCCAGGCAGTTTCCGTACTTTACCATCGGTGTTTATGTTAGACTTCGGTACCTCCAAGCGATAGGAAAAGGTCGTCGTCCACAAAGAGTTAAAACGAAAAACTATTTTTTTTAATTCTCTCATAGTGAAATTAGATCATTCATAACGTATTACAAATTTATTCTGAGATAGAGTTCTCCCGCAATGCGAATAGTAAAGCGCTTCGAGGCGTGGGCCGATATATCGGCTCTGGCACTTCTCGCGAGTGTAGCAGGAGCCGATATATCGGTTCCCGGCACTCGAAGGGTTAAGGCACTCGAATAACATAAGGGTTTAGAAAAAAGCAAAGTCTATTGTCAACGCGTTTCTATCGAGTCAAAGCAATGACGCAGAGTTCTACCGAGTCAAAGCAAAGGTATAAAGAGCCTAACCAATTTGCGGCAAGATGTTTGAAAACACCCAAACAGTGAAGAAACTGTTCTACACAATTGACTACATTAAAGAGTGCACTCAATAAGTATCCCTATTAATAACACAAGAAATTTTTAAAATGTAGACATGTTTAAATATTTCTGTAATTTACGTTACAGCATAATGTGATTTGGCCGTAAAGTGGCTCATAATTAAATTAAAACAACAAATTAAATTAAATACAATATATTTATTCATTATTTCATTAACATCTAAGCACTTAACTATTTAATAAATCATAGTAGGCATCTTCTCTGGTGAAGAGACGGACGGACGGACAGCATAATTAGTAGATCAAATGATTGTTCTCACTCATGAGCAACTTGAGCGTTGAAGAGCACTTGGCTTGAAGTTGGTTACCCTATAAACGAAAACAATGAATTAGTAACAAGGTTCATAAAATATACTATAAAGAATAAATTACCTGATTAATCATGCAGCGGTGTCTTCCACGTAACCCCATTAAGACCTTCATAGTAAAACTCAACAAGTGGTTTTTATATTAACTGCCTAATTAAGTTAGTGAGGTTAGTCATGTTATTGAGTTAATAAGAGTTAAGTTAATCATGCATAATTATGAATGATTTTAAGGCTTCAGAGCAGTAATAGTTGGATCGAGAAGATCTGCAAAAAAGAAAGAAACATTATAGGAATGTTTGCATTTATACTGATATGGTAACATGTTTCTGGAAAGATTCCTGGTGAAGTGAGTCAGCGTGCAGAGCAGCAGTGGTTGAAAGTACCTGGAAAAAATAAACATGTTATTTATTGTTCACATTTATACTGATTATGGATAAAAACGTACTTTTTAAATTATTTTCAGAGCGATTCCTGGTGAAGGGTGTGCAGAGCAGCAGTAGTTGCAAGGACCTGAAAAAAAAAACAAACATGTTATTTGATGTTCACATTTATACTGATTGTGGATAAAAACGTACTTTTTAAATTATTTTCAGAGCGATTCCTGGTGGAGGGGTCAGTGTGCAGAGCAGCAGTGGTTGAAAGTACCTGGAAAAAAATAAATATGTTATTTATTGTTCACATTTATACTGGTTATGGATAAAACATACTTTTTAAATTATTTTCAGAGCGATTTCTGGTGAAGGGGTCAGAGGGCAGAGCAGCAGTGGTTGAAAGTACATGGAAAAAAATAAACATGTTATTTATTGTTCACATTTATACTGATTATGGATAAAAACGTACTTTTTAAATTATTTTCAGAGCGATTCCTGGTGAAGGGGTCAGTGTGCAGAGCAGCAGTAGTTGAAAGGACCTGAAAAAAAAATAAACATTTTATTTAATGTTCACATTTATACTGATTGTGGATAAAAACGTACTTTTTAAATTATTTTCAGAGCGATTCCTGGTGAAGGGGTCAGTGTGCAGAGCAGCAGTGGTTGAAAGTACCTGGAAAAAATAAACATGTTATTTATTGTTCACATTTATACTGATTATGGATAAAAACGTACTTTTTGAATTATATTCAGAGCGATTCCTGGTGAAGGGGTCAGTGTACAGAGCAGCAGTAGTCGAAAGAACCTGAAAAAAATAAACATTGTTTATTGTTCACATTTATACTGATTATGGATAAAAACGTACTTTTTGAATTATTTTCAGAGCGATTCCCGGTGAATTGAATCAGTGTTCAATTTTCACTCGATACTTGGCCATTCGATTCTCAACAATTTGCTTGATATGATTTTTGTGGCCTCCATGTGATTTCATCTTGATGACCAGAAATAGAATGTAGAGATTTACTAGCAGTTTAAGAATTGCACTTGGTTTTATATGAAATGCATTAACATGAATTTCAAACAGTGAAAATTAAAATTTAATGTAATATGTCAAATCCACATTGCATAATCTCAAATGATTCAAACGACCACATTATTATTCAATAGTTGAATAGATTAGTGTATTAGTATTTGTTATTATTAATATTAAAACTACTGATGCTACCTAACTAATAAATTAACCCACATGCAAAACATATCGTGATCATTCGAATCATGAAATTCAATGCCTTAATGATTTTGTAAATTTCTAAAAGTTATAGTGACAACTAAAGTATTGATCAATTAATATCTTGAACAAAATCACCGCTTAATAAATCTATTCGTGCCAAATGCAATTCCAATAAATACCACATTCAGAGCGTCACAGTAACAATGTTCGTATAAAAACTGAAGGACTCTGGTAGCAGCAAACGCAAACCTACCCGCACCTGCAAAATACACAAATTATTATTGAATTTAGTTGATTATACATACATTATTAAATGTCATTGTTGATGCGTCACCAAATATTCAAATATTCATTCAAATTGTAACTATTCTTTGTCAATTTGTTGTTCAAATTGTAACTTTTTTTTCAACTAATTTTGAAAACTAATTTTGCTTTAAAATTCTTGATGACATTATGATTGTGGTCCAATTTACACAATACTTCTGATATATAAATTGAAGTGAATTAGCAGATGATAATGATGTAAATAAGACTTCAAATTAAACGATCCGTATAAATGTACTCATAGTAATTCACAAAATGAATTAACAGTCATTTTTTACTTTCACAACTTTTTACTATTACTTTCGATTATTTCTTCTGCACAATGACCGCCAGCCATTCAATTGTGAACTCTTGCCCAGTCAACAAAATAATAATATGTAGTTTTATTTAACAGTGGGCACCAAATGATGCAAAATAAAATAATTAGATAAAATATATCCGGCGTACGTCTTAGACAGTAGTACGACTTGAGCAAAAACTACATAAATCGAGCACACGTTTTCAAAAAAAAAACAAAAATTAGGAAAGGTTTCAATTAAATCTAAAACATCTTAAAACACGAAATGCAATCCGAGTGAATCCGCAAAGAGAAATATAATTATCACAAGTGCAACGTACCAGGTGACGCTCGCAGGTCGCACGTACTCCACAGGCAGCGAAGGGTCAGGCCCGCTCGTCCGTGTTCGACGACGTCTCGATGTCTTCTTCCAGCAATCGCCACGATGGAAATGAACTCTCACTCGCAGTGACAACTCCCTCTCCGAACTCCTATAGTCGCAAAGCATAGATGTGCAAAAGACTTGTAGACGTGCGACTGCAGAGCGTGCACGTTCGCTCGGTCGAAGATGGCGTTTCAGGAACTCGAACGCCTCTTCTGTTTTGAAATCGAAACGACGTTTATTTGAATCTTCAATTTCAACATTAAGGGTTTTATAAATTAAATAACGATATTCCCTTCTTTTAGTAAACTCTCTAAAAATTTACACTGCAATGAATTAGTCGTTGGTTATTGAAATAAATAAATTTGGTGTAGAATAAATTTTATTTTCTTTCACTAACCTGTGTTTTACAGTACACTTGTTTGCTTTTTCTTTCTCAAGTATAAAATTTGTTAAATATTTTTATATTTTTAAATATACAGACAAATTTTCACTGTTTTATTTATTTATCACTCATATACATGAATAATTTTGAAGTGCTTTTAAATTTAGATAGAAAATTTAGTCCTACATTCCTGCAACACGTGAAGCCATTAAATATTATATAAATACAAACATACAATTTTTTCAAGTTTTAACTTATTAGTTTACAATAAAATTACTAATGATGACACAAACTAGCCACAAAACCTTTGTAAACTAACAAAGTTAGCGCAAAAGAGTCTTACTGTGTACTTATTGAGAGTAGAGTTGGTTAAATATTTTGAAATATAAAAAAATCAAACCAAGGTCAAAAGAAAAATATAAATTAATTAAAAAAATGTTTAATATAACATTTTTCTTTAAATTTCGTTTATTTTAAATAATCAAAATCAAATGACATTCTGTGAGAAAACACAAAATAAGCAATTTGAATTATCTAGTGAAAACAAACCACTCCTTTGCAAAGTTGAAAAACAATTAAATGAATAACATATAATAAATACTACTTTTTACATTTTATGATTATTTTATTTGATCATTACAATTTTTACAAGTGTATTTTAATAATTAATTATTTTATAACTACTTAAGACTAATTTTATAAAAAATTTAGTACAGTAATCTATGTGATTACATATTGATTTGGTCAGCTGGTATAAGTTTTACAATGAAACAAAACTTTAAACAAAATTTTCATTTATCAAACAAGTTTCAAATCTAAATTTACTGTGATCATAATATAACAATTCAAAATTATGTATACAATTGTTCATTATAAAAATATTCTTCAAACAGCTTAAATGGAGTTCATAATAAAATAAAATCAATTTTCAAAATATAGAAAATTCAAAAATTTATTTTTAGAAATGTGAAAATACCATGCTAGATATATGTCGAAACACAAACACACACATACACATTACAAACATTATAAAGTTATTGGTATATATAAGAACGCAAGTAAATATATACACACTGTAATACTATGCTATACATAAATTTAAAATCTTGTTTAAATATACGTTGCATAACTTTAGCTTTTTTATGTCTGTAAAGATAGTTATATATATATATATCTCAAATTCATATTACTGCAGGTCAAAATATCAGACAAAAGTTGGAAATTTTGAGACTACTCTCCCTTCCTGATAGTTACCAGAGCAACAGGGAACGTGCAGGAAAAATTATAGCTTCACTAAAGGTTGAATACATTCAATAGTTGTTAATATTACTTATATTTTTATTACTATTTATTCCTTCAGGCCAAGAATCCTGCCTACCATCTAGATTTCGACACCAGGATTTACAGTTCCCACATGATCCAGCCAAGGCAGCGCTTCAACGCGATTGCGAAAATGTTCTACGACTCAAATATCGTGTCTATAGATTTCACAAATGGAATAAAAATAACAGTGATGGTACTGTCATTAAATACGATAGTGCTGCCATTATGAATCAGTGGGTCGCCAATGTTACAAGGGGACACATCACGGAATTGGTCAACCACGGTAGGTGGTGAACTTTTAATAAAATTGATTTTTATTTGATCACATATTGACAAATTTATTTTGCTCCAGCGGATGTTTATGGTGCTATTGAACGTCGTATACTTTAAAGGCGAATGGAGAAAACAATTTCCTGAGGAGAATACAACGTTGGGAAAATTCTACCTGGATGTCGATAAATAAATTACATAAAAAAATAAATTAAATTTTAATATATATACTATATGATCTGACAGACGTTGTCCTGTACCCACGTCTACAATTTTTTACAATCCTCTACTAATATTTACAGTTTACCCAAAAATAATAAGTATGTTTTTTAAATTACTCTTCACACCAAAATGCATAAACATCAATATGAGTGTTGTTAAATGTTCTTAACTGCTTTAAATAAAATGATGAGTCTCAATTTCTACACTAAATTGGAAATTAAAGTCTTTTAAACGGTACAACAAATTCAATAAAAATTAATATATACTATCCGCGGTAAAAGTACAATACTACCTTGGATTTTTTCTAATTGTTCCAATAATGTTGCCTACAATTTTTATAATTTCGTATTATATTTTAATAGGTATTTAGTAATTATAATATCTAAATTACATTTTTTTTAGTAATAATTTAATATACATTATTACCAGGGATCCTCAGCGCCCGCTTTGCCAATTCCCTCCTATTATTTTACCTGTTTTAACCATAGACCTTATATACATGGACTGCTAGTCCCCATACATTTCTCAATATTTATTATTAATATTATGATATTCAATTATTAAGATGCTTATTGTAAGACAATGAGATGAAAGCAAAATGAAGATATATTATTAATAACAATTTCTGATTATTGTTCTCTTGCAATACCAGGCAGTGAGGACGTAGTTGGACTGAACACAGACTGCAGGCCCATCTAAATAACAAAATTTCAATTTCATATCAAATAATTCTAAATAATGATGCTCTCGATCAGTAGAGACCTTACCTTTTTTAAAGTATCAACAAGTTTTGCTTTAAAATCAAACTTGTACTTTGGTAAGATAACATTGAGTTCAACTTCATCCATTAGCCACAATTGCTGCCTCAGAAGTTGGCCGTTCAAATTCTGTTGTAAATGTTGTAATCCGTTTCTCATTGTGCTTTCCAATATGAATATCGCACTGAATTTTCCACCCTTCGAAGAAATACAATGTAAATAAAATATAATATATATATATATATATATATATATATATATATATATATATATATATATACATATATATATATATATATATATATATATAAATATTTACCTTATATGGCATTCTTAAAATTTTCGCATCTAACTCTTTTGAGTCCTGATAGAGAAAGACTCCTTGCTGTCTCATAAAAGGTACTGTGATTGGCCTAATAATAAAAATGGTGATAAATTGATTACTTCATTTGTTTACAGAAAACATTTGTTGTTTTATTTATAAATATATACAGGGCGTGTCTGGTCGGCCAAATAGAAAAAAACAACAAATTCAAAGGCGGCCATAACAAAAATTGGTCGTAATAAATAGCTGTCGCATTAAAAGTCTACTGAATTAAAAGGCGGCCAACTCATTCGCTGCCGTATTGATATCTAAATGCGAGATCGAATCAAAAACAGGCAACTCTAAGCTCTGTTCACAAATAATTTTTAAGTGTATAAACTTGGTGTAAGTGGCAAGTTGCGTGAACTCTCCAACATGTGTAAATAATCCACTTAAATACAAAAAATATATTAATTCAAGAGTACATTGCAATGTGAAAAACTATCGCAAAACTATCGAAACAAACTGTAGTATATTCATTAAAAACAGGATCCAAAATTGCCAAAGAAATTTATTAATCAATAACTGAGAAACGACTCGTCGATCATGGAAAAAAATTAATCAGCACGATTCTCAAATAGAACGTTTGTGATGGTTTTTGAATTTTCAAAATCGATTCACGAATGTAGGCTATATATAACGTGAACAAAAAATTTGATTTTTAAATAGGATTATGCATTTTTAAGGAAACGTCGACTAAAGATGAAATTTTGACTCACGTAAGAAAGCACTGCTCCTTTTTTCAAACTTTGATAGTATTTTAAAAATTAAAACAACTTACCGTAGTGTCGAAATATTTAGTTATTTTTGAAACCGTGATCACTATCGGCAATAAAGTTTTATAAATATCATCGTAACGAAATATTTAACAATTCAATACGAAGAAACAATCCGACCGATCTCTTAAAACAAATCAGCACGATCCCCAATTGATATCTTTTGAACAGTTTCTGATTTTTTAAAAACTATGCAGGATTTTTGGCTAAAACGTGTACAAAAAATTTTACCTTTTTCAGTTGATTAGAAACAGCTTGGCCGATTGTTGCACAAAACTGAAAGGCGCTTGTCATCTAGTTACATCAAATGACTTTTAAAGTTCTGAAATGGATTTAACCGTTTTTGAGAAAACGTTCGCAAAAAGTCAAAAATCGGCTCATGAAGTGAAGGGCGGCACCATTTGGGGGGCGGCAAATTTTTCAGAATTTCAAAATTTTAAATCCGAAAAATTGTCACGGCAATTTATTTTTAGCATTGATCCTGATCTCGATAATTTTCTATGAGATAGAATGTTATTCGTTTTCTAATCAAACTTATTCATAGGCGCCTCATTAATATTTTTATTGATGTATAATGTTTAAAATAAAATAAAAAATCAAATTGATAAGCATTTTTGGGGAAAATAAAATAAAATAAAATAAAATTTTTGGGAGAAATTATTTTTAAAATAAAAATTATTAAATTGATAAGCTTTTTTGGGAGAAATATTGAAGCTCTGTTCATTTCTTGCAACTTTGTTAAGATGAATCTTACATACAAAACGCTTAAAATGGTTTTAAATAGTTTCATATTTTAGTTCGGAAATTAACATAACATATTAATTGTTATTTTATGATAATTTAATTATTTTGTTGTTCGTATATATTTTTAACTTCCTCTAGGGTAAGTTATTGTAATCGTCCAAAAATCGAATTACATTTCTCGAGATTTTGAAGGTTTCTGAACATTTTGGCATACCTCAGAAAAAATGGATGTGTGTGT